GTGCATTTAACGTTCACACACAAGTGAGAAAAGCCTGTAAATGAACTACAAATGATCTTCTTGCACATGCGCAGATAGAGGAATGTTCGCTGGAACATGGGAAAAAGCAGGGAAGTGCTCCCAAATGCGCATTTGCTTTTCACATTACAGTAAATGCGAAATTACTGTAATTTCGCAAATGCATTTCCTCAAAACTACCGAATTTCAAAAGATCTCAGATAACACCAGTTTCTGTCCAGTTTCTGTGCAACGTCGTGTGAAATCGTGAGGCACAAATCCAGTTTCTGTTTGGGATTTGTGTGGATTAACCAGCAGATTTCCCCCGTGTGATAACATCCCTTGATAAGTGACACTCTCTCAGCCTCAGAGGATGGTAATGGCAAACCCACTTTGAAGAAACCTGCCAAGAAACCCCCATGACAGGATCGTTTTAGGGTTGCCAAACATCATAAATGACTTAAAGGCACACAACAAGAACAACAGCGTTTACAACAATAGAAATGTGCCTAGGTGTACTATCAACAGCACTGTCTTGCCTACTTTTCCAAATCTACAAGGCTTAGTTTAATTTGAAAATTATCTGATTTTGCAGGTGCCTGTGTTAAGATACTCAGCTGCTAGCATCCTTCCAGCTCCAAATTGATAGTTTCCATTCCTCAGATGGCATGTTACCTCCAAGAAAATGTAGGAACTTTTCACGAAACTCACGACACTCTCTATTTAAAACCAAGTATCTGGTTTCTGGTCCCTTTTTTACTCCTTTCCTAGAAAGTTTGACTCCTGTTTCTAACTAATGTGGACCAACTCTAACATGTGTTGTGCTGTGCCATCAAGTATAAAACAATACTGGCACTACTAAAATTTGGTTCCGAAATGGTGTCACTCTGTCCCACTAAGCTGCTCCTGAACCTGGACCTGAAATTCCCCTTGTCAGACTGAGCAGAGGCTGGATCTATTCAAGGGACTCCATGCATTGCCACCTCCTCCTGCTCCATACCAATTCTATCATACATCTACATTTACCTACCAGGCAAGAGTCCTATTTTCGCAGGTGCTTGGCCACCATTCCTATCATCTCTCTTTGGAGCAGTGAGCTGGTGGCATCCGCCGTGACAAGCAGAAATTACAAACTATCCGTGCGGTGTGAGTCCTACTGGTCCCTGCGCAAGTAAGCCTACCAGCTGAGCCACACCTCTTGCATACCTGGGCAGGTAAGCTGTCGCTCAGTCGTTGCAGATATTTTTTAAAAAAATCTCTCTGGTGCTCTCAGACACACAGAGTACTTGAAATGAAACTTGAAACTCAACCTAGGAGAAAATCTGGACTCTTGGAAGGCAGCGTGACCTGGCTAATTGCGAAGAAACAAGGACTGCTAGAGTTTATTTTATTTCAGTTGGCCCTCCATATCCACGGAT